CCTCCTGGTCAATGTACAGGTTCCTCATGAGTACAATCAAGTGTTCTGGAATTCCCATTCTTCTCAATGTTATCCACAATTTGTTATGATCCACACAATCAAATGCCTTTGTATAGTCAATAAAACACAAGCAGACATCTTTCTGGTATTCTTTGCCTTCAGCCAAGATCCATCTGACATCAGTAATGATATCCTTTGTTCCACGTCCTCTTCTGAATCCAGCCTGCACCACTGGAAGTTCTCTGTCAATATACTGCTACAACCATTTTTTAATTATCTTCAGTAAGATTTTACTTGCATGTGATATTAATGATATTGCTTGATAATTTCCACATTCTGTGGGATCACCTTCTTTGGAATGGGTACAAATATGGATCTCTTACAGTCAGTTGGCCAGGTAACTGTCTTCCAAATCTCTTGGCATAATCGAGGGAGTGCCTCCAGTGGGGCATTCATTTGTTCAAACATCTCAATAGGTATTCCATCAATTCCTGGAGCCTTGTTCTTCACCAATTCCTTCAGTGGCACTTCGATTTCTTCCTTCAGTACCACTGGCTCTTGATCATATGCCATCTCCTGAAATGGATGAACATCAACCAGTTCTTTTTGGTACAGTGACTCTGTATTCCTTCCATCTTCTTTTGATGCTTCCTGCATCATTCAATATTTTGCCCATATAATCTTTCAATATTGCAACTTGAGGCTTAAATTTTTTCCTCAGTTCTTTCAGCTTGAGAAATGCTGTGCATATTCTTCCCTTTTGGTTATCTAACTCCAGGTCTTTGCACATTTCATTATAATAACTCGCTTTGTTTGTTCGAGCTGTTCTTTGAAATCTTCTGTTCAGCTCTTTTATCTATTTGCTTTAGCTACTCTCCATTCAAGGGCAAGTTTCAGAGTCTCTTCTGACATCCATTTTGGTCTTTCCTTCTTTTCTTGTCTTTTTAATGGCCTCTTGCTTTCTTTATGGATGATGTTCTTGATGTCATCCCACAATTTTCTGGTTTTCAGTCATTGGTGTTCATTGCATCATATTTATTCTTCAGATGGTCTTTAAATTCAGAGAGCCATATTCAAGATCATATTCTGGCTCTTGTGACTTGTTTTAATTGTCTTCAACTTCAATTTTAACTTGCATATGAGCAGTTGATGGTCTGTTCCACAATCAGGTCTTGGCCTTGTTTTGGCTGAAGATATTGAGCTTTTCCATTGTCTCTTGCCACAGGTGTAGTCAATCTGATTCCTGTGTACTCCATCTGGTGAAGTCCATGTGTATAGCTGCCATTTGTGTTGTTGGAAAAATGTATTTGCAATGAATAAGTCATTGGTCTTGCAAACTTCTATCATACAATTTCCAGCATTATTTCTGTCACCAAGGCCAAATTTTCCAACTACTGATTGATTCTTCTTTGTTCCCAACTTTTGCATTCCAGTCACCAGTGATAATTAACACACCTTGGTTGTAAACTTGGTCAATTTTAGACTGCAGAAGTTGATAAAAATTTTCAATTTCCTCATCTTTCATTTTGGTGGTTGGTGTATAAGTTAGAATAATAGTCATATTAATCGGTCTTCCTTGTAGGCATATGGATATTATCCTATCACTGACAGCATTGTACTTCAGGACAGATTTTGAAACATCCTTTGTGATGCTGAATGTCATGCCATTCCTCTTTAAAATGTCATTCCTGGCATAGCAGATCATATGGTGGTCTGATTCAAAATGGCCAAAGCCAGTCCATTTCAGCTCACTAATGCCTAGGATATCAATCTTTATTCATTCCATTTCATTTTTAACAACTTCCAATTTTCCTGGATTCATACTTTGCACATTCCATGTTCTGATTATTACTGGATGTTTGCAGCTGTTTCTCCTCAATTTGAGTTGTGCCACATCAGCAAATGGAGGTCTCAAAAGCTTTCCTCCATTCATATCAGTAAGGCTGGTCCTACTCTGATGATGCAGCTCTTTCCTAGATGTATTTTGAAAGCCTTCTGACCTAAGGTGCCCGTCCTCCTGCACTATATCAGATAATGTTTCCGGGCTATTCATAAAGTTGATTTGTAATGTATCAGACAGTGTTTCTTTGCTGTTCATAAGGTTTTCCCTGGCCACTTATTTGAGAAGTGGATGGCCTCTTCCTTCTCCCTAGTCTGTCTCAGTCTGTAAGCTGCATTGAAACCTGTGTACCATGTGCAACCATGCCAGCACTTGTAACATCAGTGGCACAGCCTCAAGCCTCACAGCAACACACAAGCCACAATAGTATGACAAACTGACAAACAAGTTTGTCTCGCTTAGCTGTTCAAAACCTTTCCACCCTCCCCTTACCTGATTCCCTGGCACTGCTCTGCTCTATCATTCTTCTGACTTCTTTTCCCCCTGCTTTCCTGCCTGGTGGGGGTGGGACCTGGGTCTCTCCACTTACCTGGATCCCTGGCTGCTGCTCTATTCTGTCATCCCCCTGGCTTCTCTTTCCCACGGTTTCCTGGCTGGTGGGGGTGGGCCCTCGGTCACCCTCTCCCCTTACCTGGACGCTTGGCTGCTGCTTTGCTCTGTCATCCCCTCTGGCTTCTCTTTCCCCTGCTTTCCTGGCTGGTGGGAGAGCCAAGGGATATACTTGTGTAATAACTGAGAAAAGTTCCTTCAGCGAAGGAAAACACCAATGAAAATGTGGATGCCACCTAAATGCTATCTCTCCAATTTCACTATTTTGCAAAGAATCAGTCCTAGAAAAATATCATGGTCATAACCTGCCAGATTTCTCTGGCTTACCATATATTCTAGAATGAAGCATACAATATTGTGTGAAAATTGGGCACCATGCCTGAGATACACTATTTTTTGTTTCTTAGATGAAATGGGTCTTCTTCCCTCCAACACTAATGCCACTAGCCCCCTATTCCACCCATTATCTTGTAGCCAACGAGATTGTTTTATTATTCAGAGCTGATCATTTCACACCTTGCTCTTTCAATAAAGTTCACAAGTCCCTAAGCAAGTCTCCCAAGTTCTCAGTGACCTAGTTCCTTCTGAATTCACCATTTGTATCTCACACTACACCCTCTCACTCATTACACTGCACCACTGTGGCTTCTCAGTTCTGTGATGCATCTTGTTTCTCAGGCCCTGACATTTGTAGTTCTATCTGGAATGGTCTTCTCAACTTATTGTCTGGATCTCAGCTTAAATTTAAACTGAGTCCTCAGAGAAGTCTTTGCTGACCACACCAAACTAGGTCAGGACCCCATAATACAGTGAAACAATATGCTGTGCTGCTGCTTCTGTTCTACTTTCAAAAATTGAAAGAAAACAAAAAGATTAATTAACGGTATAATTGTTTAATGTCTATCTATGCCCCAGATTCTAATCTCCATGAGGGGAGTTACCGTGTCTATCTTATTTATTACTATATTCTCAGGCCATACTGTCCTGTCCAATACATAGTAGATGGGTAATATTTGCTGAATTGATGAATAACTTTGTGGAGTCCCCATGTTTTCCAAATAATATTTCCAGCAGATGTGGAGGTCATTAGGAGGTGGAAGTCAGATTCACAGTTATCTGTCTTCTGACAATGAAGTAAATGTCCTAAGAAGATGGAAGTAAATGGTGGTTTTCATTACTAGAGAACAGAAAATAGCTTGAGTTAATTGAGGCAGATGGCCCACGAACAATCTTTCAGTAGTAAAATAGAGCTTCTGAACTTTGGTGATCAAACAATATTACACATGTACGGGACTCAGTTCAGCCCTTTATCGTGAATACATTGTTTTCAATAATTAATGCAAATCACTATACCTTTCATTCTACAGTGTCTTGATTCTCTATGTCACATTGGAAAGTAGGCTGAATATTGCCTAGGTTATTCCTTGACCCTCTTTATTTATTTATTTTTTCTTCCTCTGATTAGCCACTTGCATCTTCCATGAAAAATGGCTAACTGGATTGATTCGATGTTGAGAAAAGTTTTATTTGGTCAAGCTTGATTTTTACCCCCTTACCCACAACCAAAGGAGCTCTGGTAGCATAGTGCCTAAGGCACTTGACAGCTAACCACAAGGCTGGCGGTTCAAACCCACCAGCCACTCCTCTGAAGGAAGGTTGGGCAATCCTACTTTCATAGTGATACTGCCTTGGAAACCCAAGGAGGGGTCGCTATGAGTCGGGACCGACTCGATGGCAAATAACAACAACACCCACAACCAAAGAATGTGACTTTCCATACTATACAAACGATGAGCTATTATTTTGTGATCATTCTATGTGCAAAATGGAGTCTTAAAAAATTCAAGTAGCTGAGAAAACATTCAACAATACCTAGGACAGGTAAGAAACAAATAAATAAATAATCATCCATCCTATGGCATACTATTATTTACAAAGTTCTTTGACATTCTGTGTCTCTTGATCCTGTCTTCAATTATTGCAAGGCAGAAATTTTCACTGATGAGAAAAATGAGCCATAACATTGCTGGCTCAAGGTCACAAAGTCAGTAAAGAGAATACTAGGACCTGAATCTCCATTTTTCTACTTCAATATGCCTTTGTATCTGTGAAATCTGGTTCAAGTGTTAAGGAGACAAGCCAAAAGCACAGAGGATGATTTGCAGGAACTTCTGAATTGATGGAACTCAGGTCTTATTTTACTTGGGAAACCTTCATCCTGTTGAAAGCTTTCTTCAAAGCCCCCTTCACTTCCTTGTTTCTGAGACTGTAGACCATTGGGTTGAGCATGGGAATGACCACTGTGTAAAATACAGACACGATCTTGTCCTCCCAGAGAGATGTGCCCACATTACCTTTCAGGTACATGAATATGAGAGTCCCAAAGAAAAGAGCCACTGCAGTCATGTGAGAAGTACAGGTGGAGAAAGTCTTGGCTTTGCCACCTGCTGTACGAATCCTCAGAATAGCCCTAATGATGAACAGGTAGGAGATGAGAATCACTGAAATACTGGTTGTGATGACCAAAAATGCTAAGAGGTAGATCACTCGCTCCTGTGGCTTTGTCTCACTGCAGGCAAGCTTCAGCAGGGGTGGCAGATCACAGAAGAAGAAGTCCAAGTGATTGGATTTGCAGAAGGAGAGGGAGAAAGTACACCCAGTGTGGACCATGGAATTGATCATTGCACCAGCATATGCCCCACCCACCAGGCCTAGTCGGGTCTGTGGTGTCATGGTGGTGGCATAGAGGAGAGGGTTGCACACAGCCACATAGCGGTCATAGGCCATCACAGCTAAAAGGAAACATTCAGTACTAGCATAAAGCGTGAAAAAGAAGAACTGGGTGGCACAGCACTCATAGGTGATGACTGTTTTATCGATTGCTAAGGTCTCAAGCAACTGAGGGATAATTACAGAAGAATAACAAATGTCCAGGATGGAAAGTTGACTGAGGAAGAAGTACATGGGAGTCTGGAGGTGAGGGTCACTCTGAATCAGTAGGATCATGCCCAGGTTGCCCCCAATGGTGATGAGATAAAGAATCAGAAACACAAAGAAGAGGGTCATCTGCAGCTCCGCTCGCAGCTGGAATCCCATCAGAACAAATTCTGTGACTATGGTACCATTCCCTGCCATTAAGCCGAGGTCACCTGCTGAAATAAAAAAAGGAAAGTCTCATGGAAAATAAATTAAGGTGAACAAGGTTGATTTGATCATTGCTCAGTGTACTAGCCTGAACAGTGTACCCCAAAATGTCATGTCCACCCAAATCTCAGAATGTGACCTTAATGAGAAAGAGAGTCTTTGCAGATGGAATTAGTAAACATGAAGTCATACTGGATTTTAAGGTGGGCCTTAAACCCAGTGTCCTTATCAAAAGACACACAAAGACACTCAGGAGGAATGTCATATGAAGATGAAGTGATGCATCTAGAAGCCAAGGAATGGCGAGGGCTGCCAACAATCACCAAAGGCTAGGAAGAGGCAAAGAACAGATTTTCCCTTCCAGTTTCCAAAAGGAAGCAACCTTGCCAGACCTTGATTCCAGACCTCTTGCCACCAGAACTGTGAGAGAATAAATTTCGTTTGTTGAAAAAATATGTTTTATATTTATTCACAGCCATCTCTAGGAAATTAATACATTCGGTAATGACAATCTTTAAAATTTGTATAACAATTTAAATTTTTTGATCTTTCAGAAATCCATGGAAGCATTTATTGTTAATCTCATTTGCAAGACAAGGACATATAGATCAAAGAGGTAAAGTGACTAGTTCAAGATTTTTTAAATAGTAAAGAGGAAAAGTCGGGGCTTGAACCCAGTTCCCTATGCACATCCAAACTTCTGACAGGCCCTTATTGGCCTCACTGTAGAATCAAAAATCACTACTTTGCTGGAGAAATCTTATTGTTATAGTGTTAAGGACATGACCTTTGAAATCAGAACAAGATTCAAATTCCTTATATCCTTTGGCAAGTTAATTAATCTTTCTTCACCTCAGCCTCATTGTTGGTTAGATAATATTGCCAATGTTGCAATACTATTGTGAAGGACATAACTTACGTAATATGCATGACTCATACACTTGGAATTATTTTTCTAAATTTTTGGTAAATGTGAAAGACTAGCTCCTAAGTTCATGTACATTCTGGAATCTTCTCATCTCCATGTCCATGGCCCCTTGGAGTACCAAGATCAACAGTGCCTTTCTCTGAGGTTCTTTTTGATGTGCATATGAGCACAACGGAAATGAGATGATAGTGAGCCCTGAATAGCAAGACCTGTTAGGACCTCTACAACCCGTTCCCTGCCAAATCATTTCTTCTTCTCTGTTCCTGCCAAATAGTATGGCCTGGTTTCCAAGTTCTCCTCTTATTCCAAAGGATCTGTCCCAATTTTTTTAAATGCCAGATCATTATCAGTCAGAGAGATACAGGAATCAAGCCACTCCGGAATTAGCCTGCAAAGCTCATTAATGGACAAAACCATCCCACTGAGTTTAGAATTCTAATGTAGATGGGGTTCTTGCCAGGTATTTGAACAATCTTGCCTCTGTGCCTTTGGAATTTGATAATTTGGGGTCATTGAAATACTGAATTGAATGTGGACTTCAGGGGTGATTCTTCCTGTCCTCCTTTTATCCTTGAAACAAAAACCGAATTTGAGAACTATCTCATAAGATTTTAGATAACTAAGAAAATGAAATTGTGATCAATGTTTGGCAAAAACTGATTGTGGTAGTTATGTTTTTGTGTCAACTTGGCTGGGCCTGGTTGAATGGCTGGGCAGCTGGTGGTAGTTATTCCCTATGATGAGACTAACAATCAACTCTATAGTGGGATCTACCACAAGCAGCTGAGTAGCTGCCTTTGGGATGTGTCTGCTTCCTGTATATAAGGAGAAGCCTTGGAAACGGTCTCTAGCCTATGGCATGCTTGGACCCTGCATGTAGCCATGTCCTTGCTCAGCAGCCTGCTATGCTCTGCCGACCTTGGGACTTACAGTGGACTTAAGTTAATGGCCTGCCGTGTGGTTTGGTAACATTGGGACTGTGACTTTTTATTTGTCAACTTTGGGCTGGTCAGCCTCAGCAGCCAGCAGCTGTCTGAGTGAAGAAAGGCCTCTAGCTCCAGTGGGCCAGGAGCAGGAGGCGGAGCTGGACCCTGAAGTTGAGGGGCTTTCACCCAGCCCCTAGAGCCTGGCACTTTGAACTTGGACTTAAAGCCTCCAAATTGTAAGAATAAACCTCTGTTTGTTAAGGCCATCCCATTTGTGGTATATTTCCCGTCAGAGCAGGACTAGGGAACCAGAACACTGATGTACTGAAAAAAATAAGGGTTAGCGTCTGGGGATTTTTCCCCAACTGAATTTCTAATGATGTTAATATTTAGGAATTTTTCCTTTGCCTAAGGACAAATATTGTCTTGATCTTCTCCCAAAAGAATGACTTGCTGTGTCTAAGAGGAGTTATCTAGTTATCTTAACTACTGCTGCTATAATGGAAATACCACAAGTGGGCAGCTTTGCCAAACAGAAATCTATTTTCTCACACTTTAGGTACTGTTGTTGTTGTTGTTATTTGCCTTAGAGTCGGCCCCGACTCATAGCGAGTCCTCCTTGGGTTTCCGAGGCAGTATCACTAAGGAAGTAGGATTGCCCAACCTTCCTTTCGAGGAGTGGCTGGTGGGTTTGAACCACCATCCTTCTGGTTAGCAGTCAAGCGCCTTAAGCACTATGCTACCAGAGCTCCTTTAGGTACTAGGAGTCCGAATTCAGAGCGCTGGCTCTCGGTGAACTCTTTCTGTCAGCTCTGGGGGAAGGTCCCTACTTCTCCATCTTCTAATCCTTGGCTCCTGAGGATCTCCATGTGGCATGGCATCAACCTTCCCCCATTCCTGCTCCCTTTCTTCCTTGCTTAGTCTGTGCCTTTACATCTCAAAAGAGAGTGACTCAAAACACTGATGCTTTCTCATTAACATAACAAAGAAAACCCGTTCCTAAATGAGTTTGCAACCACAGGTATCAGAGGTTAGGATTTACAATGTATATTTTGGGGAGACACAATTCTATCCACAACACATACAAATCATCCTGACTAAAGAAAAATAAAGGAAGCTATATTTATTAAGGAAGCTCTGGTAGCTTCCTTAGCTAGAGCTTCTTAGTCAAGAAAGCACTTGACTCCTAACCAGAAGGCTGGTGGTTCAAACCCACCAGCCACTCCTTGGAAGGAAGGTTGGGCAATCTACTTCCATAGCGATACCGCCTCAGCAACCCAAGGAGGGGTCATTATGAGTCAGGTCTGACTCGACGGCACATAACAACAACAATATTTATTAATTAACTTATTCAATAAACATCTACTGAGAACTGACTACTTGTCAGGTGCTTTTCTGGTTGCTTGGGGACAAAACCTGAGGGAGCTATCATTCTAGCAGAGGACCAGGCATATGCAATATATGTTCAATTTTTTTAAATTTTAGAAACAAAGTACATTTTCTATATAATGGATGGTAATAAGGGCTGTGAAAAAAATACAGCAGGGTGTGGGGGACTCATGGCAACCCCAAGTGTCACACAGCAGAACTGTGCTCCATAGAGTTTTCTTGGCAAGAATCTTGATGAAAGCAGATCACCAGGCCTTCCTTCTGCAGTGCCACTGGGTGGGTCTCCAAGAAATGGTTGGCACCACTCTGGGACCTAAGGTAGAGGGAATGGGTATTAAATAGATGATGTTTTATCAGAATGCTGGAGATCAGGTAACTATTCACATTTATTTGCACACAGCATTTATTCACAAACAATAGAAAGTAAAGGTGTAAATCATCAGCAGTGGCCCATTCCACCATACATAACAAAATATACAGGATTCTTCATGACCTTGTTGGACACTTTCATGGAAACATTTTTCACAAGTGTCAACTCCCTGTTACACAGAGGAATCCCTGAGGTGCTAGAGGGTCCATGATCAGCCTAATATGGCCCAGCAGAAAGAGAAGGCTGCAATCTCAGCAGTAGAGCACAAAGCCTAAGAAAGTGAGTCCTTTGTTTATAAAATATAATGTTTTCCTACTTGAGTCATAAATATCTTCAAGGTCAGTATTTTCTATTGCATTGTCTAGTGTCTGAATTACCTAGCTTACATACCCACTCTTCATTTATTGGTGTGGTTAAGTTCCAAAGACTAAGTCATTAGAAGAAAATCGGCATAAATGCAAAAATGGAGGATGACCACAAATGGAGGATGACCACATCAGATCACAAAATAGAGGATGATGACATCATTACATAACTCCCAAATTACCTATTACATAACTGCCAAACCAGTGAGAATCATGCCTCTGCCAAGTTGAAGCATAACTAACCATCACAGCCAGCATTAACCTCTGCATTAGTTACTGCCAGAGGCATGTTGTTAATGTAAAAATATTTGGGTAATAGAAATTTTACTATCATTGTACATGTGAGATGTGAGTTAATGAGATAGTCAATAATTGAGGAGTATGTGTGTATATATAATTTTTTTTAAAAAAGGCAATCATTCTTAGATTTTAATACTATTGCTAATTCTCTCATTTATATTGTTTGACACTATGTAAAATTATAGATATAATTTTTCAATTCTAATATTAAAAGGAATAAGAAATAAATCTCCATACTACAAAACACAGCTATAGGTATACCTATGGGTTACCTTTCTCCTTATATCAAAATTACCCATTATCTTTCAACTACTGAATCGTTGAATAAAATTTAATCTTTAAAAATAAATAAAATGGGCCCTGAAGACAAGCAGAATTTATCCCAAACTCTGGCTCAGTCATTTCAATTTGTGTGATCCTGAGCAAGTTACTTGACCTCTAGATTTTCCGTTTTGGCATATATGCAGTAAGAGTAATGATACTGACCTCCCTGCTACGTTGTGAAAATAAAGAGATAATTCATGGAAGCAGAGAATTTGCCGAGTACAGAGCTAATACTTAAAGAACGTAATGGTTACTAAAATGATTTTTCAGCCACTAAGTTATTCAGCCATTCAGAAATTTAATTTCTGTCCATTTTATTGCTGAGTAAAATGAGCCTCAGAGGGATTGTTTTGGTTACCTAGTGCCTCTCTAACAGAAATACCATAAAC